AAGAACAACAACAAGAACAACAACAAGAACAACAACAATCAATGATAATAATAATGACAATATTTTTAAACAAATGATCCCTCGAAAATGTACCGGGCTGTTCAGCAACTGTTAAACAGCACTTCTCTCTCTATCCTTCCCATTCAAGGACTTTTAAAATGTTGTCAGTTTTCCTCCATATAAATGGATATTTCCAATATTTTCACTTAAATAATTGACTCAAATATTTTGAATGGAACAAATTTTACAATTAAAGATGAAATGAATAAGGAATTAGGATTGACATAAATGAAAATTTCGTCAATTTATGAAGAATTCATATGAATAATTTTAAGAAATACTGAAAATTTTATACGCCAAAGGTGGGTGCTTTTATTATATGAGAAGCACACAAGTTCAGAAAAAGTTAATTGAATTTCTGATAATTTATCAATCAGTTAATTAACTTATTTTATGGTGCAATAAAAGCAACATTGGCAATGTTTCATCATTTTATATTTCCATAATGCTGTTTTGATTTAATAAATAATTTCAGGGGAATAGACTTCCTAGTTTAATTGCAAATAAATTTTAGATTTATCTTAATTTGAGATTAAATTAAGAGGTGATCTATTTCTTCCCTTTAAATATGTTTGGAACAGTTTTCTGTTTATGAATTTAAGAGTAAAAATTTTGGAACCAAAATTTTGTCAAATGTTAACTTCAACAGTTAAAGAATATATAAATTGATTTATTGCCAGCTCATTTAAAATAAAAACTAATAAGGATCAATCTAAGATGATAAGTATCAAAATAATGATAACAATGACGATAATTTTAATAATAATTATTACTGTTGAATGATAACAGCAATGATTATTATTACTAAGATAATGACAACTTCTGCCAATAAGTGTTAATAATGTTCATTACTAAACCAAATATATGTCATCATCAGTACGGTATCAAAAATGTTCTTTTGATATCACACCGATAAATTTGATGCCAACTTATTTCAGTCATTACGCATAAACTTTGCTCTCTTCCTCTTTCTTCGTTCATGAAGACATCAAGAATTAAATTCAAGCAGAAAACTCATAAAGATAAAAAATTACAACAAATTACAGAACTGAAGCAAAAAAGAAAAAAAGAACTGGTTTAAATTTCATTGCTTGAAA